GTTTAACTTTTCTTCCCTTTGCTGAATGTATTTCACTGTGGTATGTTTTGGTCACACACACACACGGCTTCAGTAGCCACTGTGCTCAGTTTTCCTGAAATGCTTAAATGATGGGCTAAATGTTAAAGCTTGATGATGTATGCTAATAGTATGTTCATTTATCTCATGTGTTAGCACTGTATCTCCTCTGTTATCTCATGTATTAGCACTATAACTAAAGTTCTTTTGATTTTTTTAATGAGGAGAGGTGACTTATTGGGTTGTTGGTTTAGGGAAGGCTTAATTGAAGAGAGGGGATTTGCGTTAGGTCTTGAAAGTTGAAAATCAGTCCATCATGTTGAGATGGGGAGAAAGGATGGCTAGTGAAAAAAGAGACAGCAAAGGCAAGGGCATCTAAGTTCAGAAAGGAAGTGGGTAAATTTATTTGCAGTGTAAAGCAGAACAAGAGCCTCTTCAGGTTACTGATGTGTTGCACCCTTCCTGTGGTTTGGAGGAATGAGCTAATGTATTTGAAGGGAGAGCGTAGATTGGGAAAGAGATTGGGAATGGTACAGAATAATGCAACGCTCTATGCACAGATCTTTCATGTACAAAATCTGAAGGAATCTACCAAAATTCTGTTAAAACTTAAGCACTAGTTCAGTAAGGTGGCAGGATGTAAGATCAATGTCTGGCAGCCAGTTCTATTTCTTCTCTTTTCTTTTCTTAAGTTTATTTATTTGTAAGGCAGAGTGGCAGACAATAGATAAAGAGAAAGAGACCTTCCATCCACTGGTTCACTTCCCAAATGGCCGTGACAGCCAGAGCTGGGCCAGGTTGAAGCCAGGATCCCAGAACTCCGTCTGGATCTCCTATATGAGTGGCAGGGGCATAAGCACTTGGACCATCTTCCCACTGATTTCCCAGGCACATTATCAGGGAGTTGGATTGAAAGTGGAGCTGCCAAGACTCGAACCTGCGCTTATAGGTAGTAGCTTAGCCCACTGCACCACATCACTGGCCCCTGGTTGTATCTTTGTTTGCTAGGAATGAATGATCTACAAATAAAAAGTATTAAAATGCTAGCAATTCCACTGATAATAGTACCAAAAGAATGAAATACTAAGGCAGAAGAGTAAAAGTAATGCAAAATTTTTACATTTTAAACTACAAGGGGCCGGCACTGTGGCGTAGCAGGTCGGGCTGCTGCCTGCAGTGCCAGCATCCCATATGGGTGCCAGTTCGGGTCCCGGCTTGCTCCACTTCTGATTTGGCTCTCTGCTGTGGCCTGGGAAAGTGGTGGAAGATGGCCCAATTCCTTGGACCCCTGCACCCACTGGGAGACCCAGAGGAAGCTCCAGGCTCCTGACTTTGGATAGGCACAGCTCTGGCCGTCGCGGCCACCTGGGGAGTGAACCAGCAGATGGAAGCCCTTTCTCTTTTTCTGCTTCTCTTTCTTTCTCTGTGTAACTCTGACTTTCAAGTAAATAAATAAATCTTAAAAAAAAAAAAAAAAAAAACTACAGGAAAACTGGGTATCTACATAGGAAGGAATGACACTGGTCCAAATGTAAGAAGAGACAACACTATAAAACCTTTAGAAGAAAATATAATAGGAATGAGTGTTTGTGACCTTGAATACGACACCATAAGCACAAGCAAACAAGGAGAAAATGATTATTTATTATTATTATTTAGATTTTATCAAAATTAAAATCTTTTATGTTTCAATAGACACCATCAATTAAATGAAAAGACAGTCCACATAATGGGAGAAAATATTTGCAAAGTACATATCTGATAAAGAACTTCTGTATAAACATATAAAGAATTATTACAGCTCAGTAATAAGCAGACAAATAGGCCGATTATGGACTGGGCAAAGGAGCTGAATAGACATAGCCCTGAAGATTCACACATGGCCAGTAAACACATGACAACATGCTCAGCATGGTTAGCCATTAGGGAAATGCAGAGAAAGACCTCAGTGTGATGCCACTTAATGCTTTTGAGAATAGCTGTGATAATGAGGATGAGTGACGGTGGGGCTCTTAAAACATGAAAGAGAAATTTATCACATGACCCACAAATTCCACTCCCAAGATAATTGAGAGTATGTTTAGATGCAATAACTTGTGTACAAATTTGATATTCATAGTAGCCAAGAAGTGGAAACAATCCAAATACCCATCAACTGATAGATAAATGGATAAAGAAGATGTACTGCTTCTATACCATGGAATATTTGGGGATAAGGAATGCAGTTCTCATACATGAGCAAACCTTGAAAACATTGGGCTGAGTAAAAGAAACACGACTGATTGCCATGTGTTGTATGATTGCATTTGTACAAATTGTCCAGGATGTATGTATCCATGGAGACAGATGGTCGTTGCAGGGGAAATGGGAGTAACTGCTAATGGATGTGTTTCTTTCTGGGGGCGATGAAAATGTTCTAGAATTAAGCAGTGGTGAGGGTTGCACAATTTTGTGAATATTCCAAAAACCACTGAATGGCAAAAGCAGAAAAAATTAAAAGTCCTGTTGCATTCTTTCCTGAAAAATTTAGATAGATGTCAACATGCCACCCTAGGAAGAAGGATCGCTGTTGTTTTTATCTGTGTTCCTTTTCAAAACCAGAGTTTGCAGGTTGCTACCTCTTCAGATTTCAGCAAGTTGTGGTAAAGGGCTTCAAAAAGTTCACTGGAAAAATGAAATTAAAAGATACTTTAATTGCCCATTAACTTTCTGAAGCCACCTTGTATCTTATTAGTCTGTCTTGTGGAGGTATAAAAGACACTGCTACCACAGAGAAGAGCTTCTTAAATTCCATCAATACTTGATTCAAATTTAATTTTAAGAACATTTCAGATTTTTTAAGTAATGGAATATGAAACCATATATACTCTCAGATGTCTTACTGTTTATCAAATTTTAACACAATATGGGGTATGATGTGTTACCAAATTGTGATATTTGATACATGCCTTGGAGTCAAGTCTTTCATGCCAATTCAGAGTGTGTGTTCAGATATTTATCAAATATTTTACTAACTGGGAAGGTTGTAGTTCTGTGCTGGGTTAAAAATAGCAAATTTCCTCTTAAAATGAAAACGAGTACACTGTGTTCCCAGTGTAGGTGAGAGTTTCTTGATACAAAGAAACCTAAACTCTGTTCAGAAAGAGACTGGATACTGGGGCTGCTATGATATGACTTTAACTGTTATCCAGAGGTCCCCAATTCCAGTTTTTTGTTCCATCAGAATGTCTCCATTCTCAGTTTTCACTGTCATTTTAATAGGAAAATGTTACATATTTGAACTATTATGATCAGTATATTATAGCAAATACATGCTAATTTAATATTGTTATTCTCTACTTAATATACTGGGGTTCTGCATAAGATACCACTGAAGTTTTATGAATTGGTGATCTCACATATATGTGAAATCTGAAAAAGTCAAACTCATTCAGGTTGTGGTACAGTGGGTCAAGCCAGCTTCTTGGGATGTCCTCATCACATATTGGAGTGCCAGTTTGAGTCTCGTGTACTCGCTTCTGATTCAGCTTCCTGCTATTGCACCTGGGAAGGCAGCAGGAGATGGCCTAAGTACTTTGGCTTCTGCCACCACATGGGAGACTTGGGTGGAGTTCCTGCCTCCTGGCTGTTGCAGACATAATTGGGGTGAGCCAGGAGATAGATCTCTCTGTTTCTGACACACACATGTGCACCCGCACACACACACACACACACACACACACTCCCTCCTTTCTTCCTTTTTCTCCCTTTCAAGAAGATGAAAATAAGGGCCGGTGCCATGGCTCAATTGGCTAATCCTCCGCCTGCGGCGCCGGCACCCCGGGTTCTAGTCCTGGTTGGGGTGCTGGGTACTAGTCCTGGTTGCTCCTCTTCCAGTCCAGCTCTCTGCTGTGGCCTGGGAGGGCAGTGGAGGATGACCCAAGTGCTTGGGTCCCTGCACCTGCATGGGAGACTGGGAGGAAGCACCCGGCTCCTGGCTTCCGATCGGCGCACCACTGGCTGTAGCGGCCATTAGGGGAGTACACGAATGGAAGGAAGACCTTTCTCTCTGTCTCTCTCTCGCTGTCTATAACTCTACCTGTCAAAAAAAAAAAAAAAAAAGATGAAAATAAATAAAATTTTAAAAAAATTAAGCAGAGAATAGAATATTGGTTTTCAGGGGCTGGGGATGGGGTTTGGGAAAATTTGTTGGTCGAAGGGCACACAATTTCAGTTAGACAAGGAATAAATTCAGATCTATACAACAGGGTAACTATATTGATAACTAATAATAATGTATACATGAAAATTGCTAACAGATTTTTCAGTGTAAGTTTTTGAGGTTGTGAATATGTTAATTAGCTTGATTTAGCCTTTCCACAATAGTTTTTATGCAATTGGGATCCTGGAGATTTTTCTCAACATGTCAAGCTTCCTGTTTTATTTTGGCTTCACTCTCATTCTTCAAAGATATTTTGAAAGCATAATTTTTTCCACAGATATCCAACAGTGAAGGGAAGAATTCTGACTGAAAAATGTTTACTAACTTTAAAAAGACTGTCTCTTTTTTCTGAGGTTCTGTGTTAGAGATTGCACTGCACAAACATCATTGGCTAGATCGTAAGACTATTTGATGTTATGCCCAATATTGCTGTTTTAGGTGCTATTTTGGAAATCACTGGTATTGGGAATGTGATAGGTGTCCTTATTTTAATCTCTTCAGGTGCATGCTAATGGGTGGGATCATATCAGGAGCAGAGTAAATGTGTGTGTCATAGGTTGCCTCCTCTGCTGGAGCTTTGGTGATGCCGCTCCAGTAGGCTCGGCAGAAGGACCCGCTGCACGGCTGTGAGAACTATGTGTTGTAGGGTGGGAGGGAGGAGAAAGTGAAGGAATCAAATAAATAAGTGTTCCTGAGTGTCTAATCTATGTGATATTTACTGACACACACTGAATCCTGCTGTTCAAAAACAAGCCACCTGTCTGTTCTCTTCTCTTCCTAGGTGATCATGGAGGAAGCACTTTACTCCCATCAAATGTCACAAATGAATTTCCAGAATATGGGACCATGGAGGAGGGTGGCGAGGGCCTAAAAGCCTCCCTGGAGCTTGATGCAGAGTCTCTGCCATGCCGCGCAGCAGGCCAGCAAGGTGTCCAGCGGCCTGCTGGCCCCTATGCCGGGCCCGACAGTGTTACAGGACCAAAAGGTGTCAGAGAGGCCCCTTCTCAAAGTCACCTCAAGGAACAAAGTTTACAGCCCATTGACTCTTTGATTTCAGCTCTGAAAGCCACAGAAGCCAGAATAGTTTCAGAAACATTACAGGCTACAAAGGTACTGGACAAAGATGCTGTTTCTAGTTTTTCAGTTCAGCAGGTGGAGAAAGAGCTGGACAGTGGCAGCCGTAAAACACAGAGAGCCAGTGAGCCCCTTACTGCTGGCCAGGAAAACACACGAGATATACCTCTTCCAGCTGAAGAAAAAGGCGAGGAAAATTTGTATTTGAGCATCCAGAAGGACCTGGCTGCACTGTTAACTGGAGAAACTCAGGCTGAGCTTCCCCAGATAACCAGTAATGGGAGCAAAGGGGCTGTCTGTGTGCAGGAGCCAGCCTGTCCTGTGTCCTGCATGGGGGGCCACACAGCGACCTGCAGTCCTGTCCATGGTGTTGGGTTCTTGAAAGAGCAAAGGTCTGATCTTGGGAGGGAGCACCCAGGGAGATGTGATCATAGCAGCTCTACAGGCCGCCCGGGCCGGACCAAGCATGTGGAATTTCATGGTGTAGAGATACTGTGGACGGGAGAGAGGAGAGAGACCCAGCACCCTACAGATATGGAGACATCACTGGAAAGAAGAGCCTCACTTGAGAGCAAAGCATTTTCCAAGGCGCCCAGCCATCTCCCCCCGTCCGCTGGTCTGCCTGATTCACGGCGGGGTGAATCCTGGAGAGCTCCTGGAGAGAGGCCTGGCACCAGCTCAGGGACATTTTCCCCTGTGCCTCTCTTGGAGAGTGGAGAGGATGAAGTCTTCCTGAAGGAAAACAGACACCCTCTGGAGAAAGACAAGGAAAGGTGAGCTCCCGCTGCGGCCTGCTGTCTGTTGTGCCTGGTGCGTGTGCTAGAAAACCATGGTTGTGTGCTTGGGGGGAACTTGGCTCACAGCACACTGGATCCCGTCAGCCTAGAATCAAAGAGAAGTTGCTGTAAGCTAGGCCCTTCTTAGATTCCTTGTGAGTTCCCAAGACATTAGAAAGATGTTGTTATAAAGTTGTCCCTGAGGCACAGGCCAGGAAGACGTTGGAGAGGAACTGAACGCCAAATGCTGTGAATCCATTTCTGACATTTTGTTGTATTTGACAGGTTTCAAGTTTTCCAGCATCAAGGTAACTAAGACGTTCTATACTTTTCTTTAGTAATCTGAAAAGTCTAGGGCCCTTTGACATGCCCTGAGTGTAGTCATTATATCCTAACTTAGGCATTTCTTCGGGGTGCAGCACCAGTGCCTACAGGACATACTTACATTCTTGTATGAATGCAGAGTCTGAGTTTGAGCCCACTTAATCTCTGACGTTTAAAAGGCCATCTCACAAGGTCCGGAGTAGACTCTGTAATGCCAGTGTTCCATGGTTTTCACATATGAATCCCTTCTTCACAAAGGTTTCTGATTTATAAGTGAACTTGTCATCGTATGTTATGCTTTGGCCTTTGTTTACATTTCTGACATCTTCCAGCTCCGAGGCTGGATAAATGGGAGACAGGACTCATCTTTCCTTAGGCCTGTGATCATAGTCTGACCACACAGTTCCCTTCAGCGAAGTCATTTGTTGTGCATTATACTTTGAATTTGTACCATCTTTTCTTCTGTCAGTTTTCATGACTGTATGTTTTATAGTTTATACAGGAGAACATCTGTGTCAAGGCTGAGGGTTTTGTTTTTTGTTTGGTGTATAAAAATGCCTTTTCCTCTACTGTAGGGGTGGGGAACCTTTTTTTCTGCCAAGGGCCATTTGGATATTTATAACATCATTCATAGGCCAGACAAAATCATCAACTTCAAAATTAGATTTATTGAATTTCCAGTCCTGCCTGCGGTTGCCTTGGCAGGGCCAGACCAAATCGCGGGCCGGATGTTCCCCACCCCTGCTCTATAGCTAACAAAGCTGCTAAGGATGATGCTTCTTTAGGGTGACTAATGGGACCCCCTATTCCCAACACAAAAAGTCTCCAGTCTCCCTTGATACTGTGGCATATGGCTCAGTGTTTATATTCCCACTGGGATGTGTAGTCTTGCTGTTGTTCAGATTATTAATTCATTCCTAGTTTCAAACCCCACCCCCTACCTCCTTTCTTCCCACACATATTTCTTGATTGTACACTGTGTCCTTGATGCTGCTACATGCTGGGCATGTAGGACTGTTCAGAGCAGATGTGGGTTGTGATCACTGTCCTATGGAGTTTACTGCTGCAGACCAACAGGGACCACGTAAACACACAGGTAGTATAGACCACAGTTGCTCTGGCTGTGTGCAGGGGAAGAGCAGTCTGACTGGAGCAGAGGCTAATTCGGCTGATGGCCTGAGCAAGTCCTTTCTGTGGAAAGGTAGCTAAGTGGAGACTGAGGGATGAACACGAGTGACCCAGGACGAGGACGGAGAGGAAGAGTGTCCCAGGCAGGGGGAACAGCTGACACCCCAGCTATGTTGTAGGAAGCACAGGAGGCTGGGAGCTGCACCAGTGCATAAGGAGCAGGGGAGGTTAGGGAAGAGCATCTCCACAGGAACTTCCCGTTTCATTCCAAGAAGCCAGGAAGAGGTGTAAGCCAGACTAGTTTGGGGTATGGTCGGCCTTCAGCAACTTAAAAATCACAGGGCAGCGTTGAACGTGAATTCTGGTAACACCTAGGAATACTTACAGGGAATCCCTGTTTCTGTTGTATGTCTGTTTATGGGAATCTGAAGCTCAGAAAGCTTAAGTAAATTTGTCGAAGTGATAGAGCTAATAAATCTTCAGGTTCATGTGTCAGAATTAATACCTTCCCCTGTATATTAACTTGTAAGTTGTTTCTCATTCTCGTGGTTTAGGGTAGCCTTGCAGCAAACATGTCAGTTGGCCGTTTTTTTTTTTTTTTTTTTTTTAAGTCAGTCATTGGTGGTCTAATTTTGGACCTGAAATCTCTCTGCAATGCTGCTTTATGGTCAGGAGGGGGCAGCGCTGGATTCAAATATAGTCATCCTCCTGAGGGTGTTTGGTTTGACTTAAGTCAGAAAGTATTAATAGATGGATGAAAGTTTAGTGTATTTTTACTGGGTGTTTCCTATATCAAGCTCACATGATATGTTTGCCAGCCTCTTTTATGAAGGTAACAGTAAATAATTAGAATTTGTGGAACATAGTTGCCAAAAATAAATTTTTTTTCCTCAAGTATTTATTAGGCTAGAGATATTCACACACTAGGACTCTTGCTTGGAAGTTTATTATTTATAGTTTCATTATACATGTATTCTGGGAATTTTTCAGTTTGAGTATGTTTTATGTCTTTCCAAGTATGTTATGAAGACATCACCTCAATGAATACGAGAATTAGATCTACAAAATGTTATCCTTTTATATGGTTGAACAGGAAAATTAAAAAGAAACAATTAACTTACTATTGAAATTCTCCACTCTTAACTTTCCAGGACCCTTGACCAGGAGGAGCATACCAGGGGAGGAGACGATGATATTCTTGGGCCCGGGTATACAGAGGACTCCACTGATGTGTACAGCTCCCAGTTTGAAACCATTTTGGACAACACTTCTTTATACTACAGTGCAGAGTCCTTGGAAACGTTATACTCAGAGCCCGACAGCTATTTCAGCTTTGAAATGCCCCTCACGCCCATGATACAGCAGCGCATCAAGGAAGGTGGCCAGTTTTTGGAAAGGACATCAGCGGGAGGACAGCAGGATGTCCTGAGTGTCTCTGCGGATGGCGGCATAGTGATGGGGCTTTCTAGTGGAATCACCAATGGGCTGAGTGATGGCAACAACTGCATCTACCTGGAAGGCACCCCCGAGATGGCTTTCTGGCAAAGGTACCAGTCCTGTTCTAATTTCATGGCAATGGTTTTGGTGGCATTCTGTCTGTGGGAAATCTTAGTGTTGAATACATTGTAAAAAGCATTTAGTCAGTTCCGGTGGTGTCAGTAAAAATTAACTTGGGCTTTGGGGGCAGATGGAGCACATTGTAGCCACCTGCCAAATGTGGTCTTTGTATTCTGAGGTATTTCCTAAATTTCATATGTAAGTTGGATACTGAACTGATACTTGTGGATGATGAGTAGGTGTTAGCACCAGTGATGAGGCTTCGATGGCAGTGGTATGGGACTGTGACAAGAGCACAGAGATCTTGCTTTGGGCTGGCCCTGCCAGTGGTTGATGACAGGGGTTTCTTCATTGTAAACTGAGAGAGTTGGGTTAGAAGGTCACCAGTCTGTGAAGTACTGTTCTGTCTGGCTATCTTTTTGTTCCTGAAGCAGTGGGGAAGGATCTGACTGTATGATGCTTGATCCAGCCAACACTTTGGTCAAGCTTTAAATGTTTATTTTCTCTCTCTACTGTGGTATTTAAGTCTTTCTGGTGATAAAATGCCTAACTCCTTAGCTTGAATGCAGCCACTAATCGCTCCCTGTATTTTGTGGGTTATCCAGCACCTGTGTCATCTTCCTGCCTCACAGCCACTCCAGTTGTGGGCAGAGAATACTAAATGTTGTAAGAGTTTTATGCATTAATTTTGGTGTATTTTTCCATGTGAATGTGGAGGTGCTAGTAGGGACAAGCTTAATGGAGATAAGCTATTTTAAAGCTGAATTTTTAAAGACTCAGTGCTTTTTCTTAAAAAGTTAGTATTCATATTCTAGGTTTCTAATACATCTCTCTTTTTGAGCACTCTGCCCTGTGTTAAGCATTGTCATTGAGTGAGCAAACTCAAGACTGGCACATTCTAACACCAGGGCTGTGTGTGTCCATTGTGAGGTGGATGTGAATATTGGTTGCCTTACTGGATCACAGTGAGTGGATGAAAGGAATGCAAGTTATGAAGACACAAGACTTTGGTCCCAGTTTTTAGGCATGCCACTTATTCTCTCTGAAACTGGTTTATTTATTTACATGGTGTGGGATTTAAAGAGTTAAGATAGACGAAAGCCCCCAGCACAGTGCCTGGTACAAAGTAGTGGCTTCAATGAATGAATTGGAATTCCTTAGCTGAGAGGCTCCCAAGCAGACTTCCTGTGTGCCTGAGTGGGGGTTGTCCCTGAGAGGAGTGGGCACCTGAGAGGGCTGCAGTATCCCTCAGCTGTGGGGAGGGTCCCTTCAGCTGAGGGGGGGCATTTCTGTCCTTTTCCTTCACTGTCATCTCTGATGACTGAATTGTGTGGAAATGCTATGAGACAGCTGTGCAGTTCATTTCACTGGAATTCCTACCCAGCTTTCCAGACCAAACATCATTCAGGAGCTGAAGCATTTGGGGCTGCAAGGTTTCACTGCAGAAGCCACAGGGTGAGTCTGTAAAGACGGGAGATTACCATCAGCAAGTCAGACAGGTGAAAGGTTTATTAACTGCATGGCCTGTGCACCTAGACTGGAAGTTGTCATCGTTTGGGCCAACAGCCGTTGGTGTGTACAGTTAAGTAGGTGAGAGAGTGCTGGTGCGGGCTGTAGTATTTGGGTATCCAGAGTTAGGTATCCTTCAGGCAGTCTCAAGGTTAAGTGTCAGCTGCACCACCTGCATGGTTGAACAATGAGGTCCGGCCCTGCCATAAACGTCGAGACTCTAGTGTCGCAAAGATGAGCGTGCCCAAGTTCTTTTCCAGCTCCGCACGACCTTGTACCCCTGCCGCAGGGATTCCTGGCTGGTGGCTGCCCCCTCCTCTGACTTCAGCACCATCACCGACTTAGGCAGAATAGCTTGGCAGGTCCCCCGTTTTGTGTTCTTGGAGTTGGCATGCTAAGCGGTTATAGGTTGCACGTGGAAGAGTTTTGTTTTGGAATGTCTGTCTCTATTCAGGGTTTTAAAAAGTAGGGCTGGCTACTGGAAAACTTCATGTTTTTCTTTACCCTCTTCTGCCTTTTTTGGTGCTTTGGGGAAGTTGCAGCTGCAGAGGAGTTGTATTAGTGTTGCAGGTTGAAGAATGACGACATCCCCCAGGTTGAAGGAGGCCTTGGATGACCTTATTTCATAATGAGGAATCCCTGTCCCAGATTGGTGGTGTGACACCTGACTCTGGTGACAGATCCTGTGCCAGAATCAAGTTGCATGGCTCCTGGACCAGGTATATTCACTGCTCTAGGCTGCCTGGTCTCTAAGGTCGTTTTTTTTTTTTTATCTGACTTCTCAGAAGTCTGTTTTCAAGACACTGTATTTCTGAATGTAGAGCAGGTGGTGGTGGTTGTTGGTATGTGTGTTCACTTTGAGGAAAAATTTACCAACGTAATAATGAACATATGTCCATACATTTTTAAAGCAATCAATGTGCTGCCTTTTAAACTTTCTTCCGCATTACAGCATCCCTCTGCAGCGGTCAGGAAGTGGACACAACATTATTATTGAGCGTATTAAGGAAAGACAGACTGGGTTGCTGACTACAGCAGTCAACGCCGTAGACTGAGGGCCAACGTGTTAGAATCCAAGGAAAAGTTTTTCCAATTTAATTATTAAATGTGGTATTTACAAAGGCAAACTGATAAATAACACCAGCATACATACCTAACATTCCCTGTCTGTCCACTGGCTTCTCCCTGGGAGGGGTTTGGGGTGGGGACCCTGAGCTAGGCAGATAGGAAATGGGAAGATGAGACTCCTTAGCTCTCCCTAATTATGCGTCTCTGATATTCAGTGGATAAGGACCAAGGAGGTAAGCCCATCCCTACTGAGCCCATTTAATGTATAAAATGCTAGTTGTCAGCTAATTATATTAACTAGTCAAATATAGCCCCTAGGTTTTACTTGTTTGGTAAACACGTTGTCTCATAATAAGCTAGGTGAAGGAAAGGAATTGTCAGTGTTGTAATTTTCCAGAGAAGGGAACTGAGGCACCGAGGGACAAGTCGTCGCCTGAGGTCACATGGATGGTAGGTGGCACCCAGAACTTGAGCCCAGGTAGTCTGGCTCCAGAGCCCAAGCTGAAACTGAGTGGTACTGATTGACCCTCACCTCATTTGCACATATGATTCCATGATAGTGTCTAGAATAGGACTGAATATTGTAAGGCAAACAAAAATATGTGTTTGTTCTGGTGTTGTCTGGATGTATTTTCATATCCTGTTCTGTTTTTAATCAGTTGCCTTTACTTTATCATTACCGACAATTTCAGTGGCAGTGTTTGACCGTGGTTTATGTGAACACAGGGTGACCTTGTTCTCTGTTGTGTTGCCTCTTTAAAGAAATGTGGAGATGATTGGGAAGGGTAAGGAGGATCTTGTGGCACTTCGGCAAATCAGGAACACCTTCCCATCTTTGCCCTGGTGGCCAGAGGGAGCCGCCTCTTCCCTGCAACTCTTCCACACCGAGGACTCTTTCCAAATCTGTGCTATTCCAGGATTAGGGTGGGAAGCACATTTTTAAAAAGTTCTTGTCTCACTGTTTGTAAAATATTATATGTCTTTGTGATATGAAGTAGTTCACTCTTTGGGAAGTAGAAAAGCCTCTTAAAATCCCTGAATCAACCTGCACTGGAATGAATTTTTGCAGGTGCTCTGGCTGTGCTTGACCAGGCGCTGCTGTCAGCGGGAACCAGCTCACCCTGTGGGTGAAGGAGCCAAGAGGAGCATCTCCCGCTTTGGGGTCCAGCCACAGAGCACTCAGGCTGACGGGGGCTCAGCGGTGCTGTGTGAAGTCCAGTCACATGGCTCCCAAATTAGAAAGGATGATTAGAGACTTACAGTTAGACGTGTTCCAATGGGTTCCTTTGTGTCCGGGTGCTTCTCCCTCGCTGGCCTGTCAGCTGATGACCACAACTCCAATCAGTAAGTTCTGACCTGAAGACCGTGAGGCACAAACGTTGTCATTGTGACCATTAACAGAGCAGAACAGCGTCTATTTCTGTTGTGCCTGGGTTTGGACAGGGAGAAGAGAGATGGCAAACGCAGTGATACGGCAGGGACGTCTTTCTGGTTTTCTGAACTATGTGAAACTGCTTTCTAAAACTGCCCCTTTTGTGTAATGGATATATTTTCTATCTCAGCTTGCTAGTTTTTCTTTGAGACAGTGCCTAGGAAACATAGGAGTCAGGAGGAGGTGAATTGTATCTGCGTGCAGCTGGTGTGCCTGAGTGAGGGGTGGGTGTGAGCTCTTCCCTGCGGGAATCGCTGCCTTTTGCGCCTTGGAGTCCTGGGATTTAGAGCTCTCCCCTTTCTTCCTCCCTTGTTCTCTTTTCTTGGGGTCTCTGCTTAGGAAGAAGTCACTTGAAATAACAGTAATACGGAAAGTTTGTTGAAGTATAATTGCAAAAATTTTTCCAGTACTCCGATTTAAAACTGAAGGCATTTTAGAGTACAAATATTAAGATATGAAAATAATGTGATGGCGGTTAAGCTAGTGGCAGAGGAAAGTATTTGGACCTTGTGAAGTTGTGCGAGACCTGCCTGCCCCTGGAGCCCCGCTGCCACTGCCTCCTGATTTCTCCAGGGGGTTAGCATTTGTTCTGTAAAAATAGAGATTCTTCAGTCTCCTCTTTCTGGCTTCCTGGAGTAGTTGCACTGGTGGATTTTTTTTTTTTTTTTTTTTTTTTTTTTTTAACCACAAAGGAGTTTCTACTCAGTGATGAGGGCCAGGGCGCTGCTAGGTTCCGAGCCAGTCATACCTGGGTTTCAGGCCTGCCCTGGTTACTCAGGTGTGTAATGGTGAGGAAGGCATAAAACCCGGAGCCTCTGCAGGTGTAAAGTGGAATGTTAATGCCTGTCCTGTAAAGGGAGAAGGAGCCAGTGAGGTTAATCAAATGGGGAAACAAACAAAAAGGAAACCAAGAAGCCAAACAGCGTCTGACCCCAGAGGAGTGGGTGAAGTGATGAACACGGGTGCCAGCCACGCAGAGCT